CTGTGGCTTGGTTTAAGAAATTTAAACTGCTTTCCAACTGTGAGTATTGACAGAGCAACCTTTTTCTATGTCACTCTATGGGGTATTCAGATGGAGAAATCCTGCCAACTCACACAAGTGATTTGAGAGCTTGTAGGTGGTAAATGTTCACTTTTAACAGCACTCATTCATGTTTTGTGCACTTGATTAGTCCTGCTGTTTTCAATAGAGCACTTGTCTAAACAAGCAGTTTGCAAAATAAGGAGGGGTTGTCTGCCCTATTTTTTATTTCCATTTGGGTCATTTGTTTAATTAGAGTACAACTTATAGTAATAATGGTATTTTAATGGCAAACACTGCCTCAGAAAAAAACCTGTAGGATTTTTTTTTCCTCAAAGGTCAAATGTAAGGAAAGTTAATTAATAATTTATGACTCACTGAAATATTTAAGAAGAACATGCTCAAAAAATTAAAGCAGGCTGTTAAAACTAAATATAAAGGGAGGGTATGTTTTTACATAATAATCATTTATGAAAACTAGTTCACTAGCTCAGAAAGACTACATACAGAAATCTGTTCATAGACATCATTATCACAGCTTTTTAAAACATTAAAATGTTTACATTAAATTCAAAAATTATATAAGTTCTGATGATTTCTAAAAGACAGGACAGACCAGAAATATTTGCATATATATAGCTACAGATTGTGTTCTGGTTTCAGACTGGGTCACAAGAACCTCTAAAATGCCCCAGGGAATCTTTTTATTGGTAGCTTTGAATCAGGCAGTGTGTTTCCAGAAATTAATATCTCTTCTTACAAAGCATCCAGTTCTATTTCACACTTGTAAAAATAAGGCTAAATGAAACTGCTGCACCAAAGGCTCAAGAAATTATTAGCCATTCAATGTTCACTTTCTTTTTATGTCTTGAACATTGAGTTACAGAGCAAAGGAAGAAGTTGTCTGTTAGTATACCAGTATCCATCCATGTGTTGAAACAGTTTCGTGAATAACTAATGGGATGGGAAAAGTCCATTCCAAAAGAGACAAAATCTGTTGAGGTCTCCATACAGGGTATATATTTGAGCTGAAATTCAACTTGAAATTTTCTTAATTGAATTACAGCTGCATGGAGAGATTCAGTCAGGACTAGTGAGTATTTACGGTAACCACAGTACATACATATGTCATCTGTAAATTCCTTAGCCCTGTAGGAATACGGAAACAAGGAATAAGAGAAGAAAATATTAATCTTACATTACTCAACTTTGTCTTAGAAAAGAGCTGTTTCTTTCATGTCACAAACTGTACTCTTTTAGCATCATAGAAGAGCTGGTCCTTTGGGTAGTCTTTACATGTAACTTGACCTCTAGTTCCCCATACAATTCATGGTGTCCTTGGCTGCGATTACCCCTGTAAAATAACACCTGTACTGCATTGAAAAGGGCCCTCGACTGTACATGGACTATTTCCTTCTGGTAAGCCACAGGTATTATATTAGTTGTGATTATTTTACTTTCCTGATGGTTGAATTTAGTGTCCTCACTGAGTTAATGCTATAGTAATATTGAATGTGTATTTGTACGTCTTGTTTTGCATATTGTATTTGCATTAAGTTGTTTGTCTCTATTTAAAACCATGTACTTATTTCTTACTGCACAGCAATTCTGTTCAAAAACTTCACAAGGTAGCAGAGGTACTACAGATCTGGGAAGATCTCATCAAAGCATGACACAACACTGAGGGCTCCATTTCAATGTGGAGGAGAGGTGTGTTTTCATTCCCTACCAGAGGCACAGTCAGTTGGAGGCAGTCATTCAACAACTATTTGGGTACTTGGTAAAATATTCACCAACTAATTGATAAACCAGGGCTGTTGCCATGGTTATCTGAAATGGGCTAGAATTTTTTCCCAGTCCATCATTCACTTCTTAAAAAGATATATGTAATAATAATGGCCAGTCTTCGCGAGCGAAGATCCGGGGAAGGTCTTTCCACCTTCCAGCCTGCGCATTGGATTTTTTAGGTGAGACACAGTGTGCGCGGAACTGAGCCCACCCTTTAATCCTAAGGTTCATCTGCCGGGGCCAAGCGAGCTTGGACGGTGGCAGCGAGGTCCTCAGGACGTAGGTGGGTTGCCTTTAAGGGCTAACGAGCCCCACCTGCCCGGGAGTGGCCCTGACCGGGAATCGAACCCGGGTCTCGGCGGTGATAGCACGGCGCCTTTACCCCTAGACCACCAGGGGCTCCTAAAAAGATATATGTATCTCTATTGTAACATATCTACCTGTGTTTTTATGGGAGGAGGCGAAGAAGGTAGCTGTATGAATGTCTTATTTTTCACATTGAAGATCTAGTGATTAAATACGCTTGGCTTTTGTTTTCAGGCAGATATTTAGAAGATTAAAACAGATACTTTTTTTACTTACGAAGGTATTTTTTTTGCTGTTGAGGGTTTATTGTTTTGGATTTTTTAACAGATAAGGAATGGAAAAATCAGGCAGTTTAATAAGTTCATGTCTACCTCCTTCAGGCTATCCTTTCTGAAGGATAATGCTCTGACACTTCCATATATTTGCTAGGAGAAAAAGAAAACATTGCAATAGAACAAGTAAAAGTGCACCTCATTTTCTATATTCCATTGTGTAGCTTTGATGGTTAAAAAATCCTGAAATTTAGAATTATAGAAGGGCTTTTTGTTGGTTTGTTTTAATAGTAGTGCTTTACAGAATGCTTGATATGAAAAGGACAAGCCATGAGAATACAGGAATGATCTCTTATGTTTGCCTGGGATGCCACTACCTAGAAGAAAAAAAAAAAGTTGTTTTCATCTCCTTAAAAAAGTACACATTTATTGTTGGCACTGGCCACCAGCAGCTCTTCCCAGAGGGATTCTGTAGTGCTGTTCTCCACACTGGTGTCAGGGTGGCACCTGCTGGGAGTTCCCTTGCATCCTTTCTGATCTGCACAGTCATAAAACTTCTGGAGTGAAACTCCGGTCTACTGGGACCTTCTAGCCACAGCTTGCTGGGTATTTTCTGGACACTATTTCACCCTTTTTTTTTTTTTTTTAATGGTACAGTAGTTGCTTTACTGAAATAAAAGGCAAGACACTTTCTTATAGTACAGATGGGGAAGGGAGGTCTCCTGTTTTCAGTTCTCTTCCTTGAGGATCTTACATTGGGCATTAAAATTACACCATTTTACTTTTCTTCCATTTGCCCCAAAAGTACCTTCTTAATGTCAGAGAATGAGTTTATGTCTCCAGACAGGGGTATCTGGATTCCAAAACTTTTATAAACTCCACACTGGAGAAGTGAATAAGTCACAGAAGCTTTAGTGCTTATGTGAGAAAACATATCATGTGGGAAAAAAAGAGTACTCCTGAATTTACATTTCTAAAAGATTTCAACACAAGGGAGGACTCAAAAGTGTTATAACCAACCAGTCCAGGTGCAAAGCAGTGCTGTTGAAGATGACCCCTCACACTGTAATGAAGCAGATACTTTTGACACATACAAGATATAAATATACTACTAATAATATAATTATCATTGGCCTGCCTTGACCCTGAATATAAGTGCAACCAGCAATATGCATATATTTCATAGCACTTTGATGGTATAACTAGACAACATTTTTGTAAGTATATAAGGAATGTGATCACCAAAGGGCCAAAGTAGAAGATACCCAAGCACCAAAACATGAGACTCGATTAGCACAAGTGACTGCAAATAGAAAGGTGGGACATCATTCAAAGATGGAAAATTGGCAGGAAAAAGAAAAAAAAAATGCAAACAGCACTGGTAGGGAGTGCAACATCATAAAAGCATGAGGCATAAACAAGGAAAGTGGAAGAGGAAGACAGCTGACTGGATTTTGATTGTGTCCTTCAGGAGCTCTCAAGTCTGACTTTGGCAGTTGAGAACCATCAAAGGCTGTAAACAACATTGCTAACTTTGCAGCATCAGCTCTGGGGTACTGTACATTTAGAACAACTTTAAACTGATTATTAAAAACTAAGAGTTTTGTATGCAGAATGATGAGATCAACATTATGTAAGAGTTAACCACTCACATGAAGTAAACTACTGATGAGTAATTTTTAATTCAGTAATGTTCAATTTTACAGTGTAAAACTGACCTAATTTGTAAGTCTTCTGAACTTTCTCCTCACAGGGAGATAGACTGAACCTTGAGAGAAGGAACTCTCTCAGGGATGAGGGAGAGGAGAAGGTGCTAAAGAGTTTACTCCTTTGCTGCATGAGTACACGGTGCAAGTCAAAGCAGTGTGACATCACTTACTAAGCCTTCAGCTTGCTTAGTACAAGCATGACAGCAACTGAACCTCTTTGACACTGCTTTTGATGTGGAAACAACGCACTTGGTGGCAGTATGATAAAATAGAGACGAGGCCTTTAAGGAATTTGTTTCAGATGGCAAAGAAGAATAGCAAATGAGAATGCACTCTAAGAACAAACTGTATAAATGGGAGCACTTGCACAACAGTCTTCTACTGAATGAGTGAGGGCAAGAAGTAGAACTGAACTTCCTCAATAACCTCTGAGGGGTAGTGCTTATAGGATGTGGACAAATACACTTTCTTTTAAGTTCACATCACACTTTCTTTCTGTATTTCCATGCTATTACCCAGAAAAATCTATTGCAATAGAAGTAATTAATCTTATTATAGAAAATATAAGTATGTAAAAGCTACCATGCAAAATAAATATTCCCATTCACCCAAAACATAATGCAGTACAAAACCAATGACTACTCATTTGGAAAAAGTTGTCTGTCTCCCAGCACTACTATTCTAAGACATTTATTGATTCACCATTAACTCCTGAGAAGACTATGAAGTCTTCCTAGTGCATCCATTCTCCTAATCTGCATAAAAGATAAATCTTCACTGTACTGCTTGGGTTTTTTTCACTGAAACCTGACTGCAATTATGCAACACAGTCCTTGTACTAAATATTCTCTTCTTTAGTTTATTTCATGGGCAGAATCAATCCTACCTCACATTGTCATGCCTTTGAATGTAAATCTTGTGGAAAATCCTTTCAGGAGGCTTCAGGAAATCTTCCTTCATTTCCATTGCAACATTCCTGGGCAAAAGACTCATCAAAAGACGTTCCTAAAAGAAAACATAAACAAAAAAACCCCATCAGTTTTGTGGTATAGTGTGTGACCATTTTTCAAAAGTTTTAAACTATTTAGCTAGACAATATTTTCCTAATCTAATCTGCTTCCTTAAAATGTCTGCTGTATAAATAAGATGACACATTTCTCTCAAATTTCTGTCTTTTTTAAAGTCTTCTGCACTAAAAGCAAAAAAAAATTCAAAAAGCTACATGGAAAGAGGCAGCTTCAAGAACAGATAATCATCCATAATTTTCATTAACATTACATTGCTAATAATAACAACTTACTTTATTGTTAGTAGCATTTATCTGTCTGGGAAAGACTTCCCAGGATTATTTGCTATGCTTTTGTGTGTCCTATTTCTTTCTTGATCTAATGAAAGTGTTACATTACAAGAACTATGACAGCTGGTTATTAAGTAATGAGAGTGGATGATGGATTTATCCACTCTCTAATTCAGCAGAACAGTAATAGAGGTACAGTTTTAGCGGCATCTTATCCAGTGTGGCAGCCTCTGTTCCAACCAGCTCAGGAATGAAATGCATCAGTACAAAACCCTAGTTAGACACAAATTGTAGGAGAATTAGAAACCTTTTGGATTAAGGCAGGAGTGAACCAGCTGGTGGGAATTTGAGCAGTCACAAGGACTAAGTGTTTTGAGAACATGACAAGGACTGGACATCTTCAGGAACGAGAAAAACAGCACCTGCAGATGGGAGTTTGAGCTGGACCTGCCAGGAGGCATGTAAATAAAGTATTGTGGTTAGATTTAGAAGGAGAAGAATTTAGAAAATAAGATATGTTGGCTAGCCAATAATAACCATGTGAACAGTGTGTGTTTTGTATGTGTGACCAATAATAGCTTAAATAGTCAAATATGTGATAGTTATTGAATTGTATAAAAGTAAGTGTAATTTCCAATAAAGAGGAAGCTTCCAAAACATCATATTGGTGTGTGTGAAGTTTCCACTGGGTCTCGCACGTGGTTACAACAAATCTTCTTGCAATATTCACAGGGAAATTTTTTGCATGGGTCACTAACCTGCATAAAAAGGATCTCTAATGTTTTGGATCTTTTCAGTATTGACTATAAAGCCTTATGTGTTTTTTTCCATATAAGAATATGTGGAAAATTTGCCAGGTACTACCTGGAAAATCTACATCTGTTGTTCTTAGGTGCTGTAAACTTTCCTTAGATACCTACTTAAGTTTTATTTTCACACAGAAAATACTTGCCATTTAAAATGTAGTTCCAAAGTTATCCACCAGACCTGCTAGGTTCAGCCATGGCAACAGTCTGAATGAATTCACATAACCACGTCCAATCTGATTCAGGAATCCCAGGTTCCAGATAACAAGGGGAAAGGCTGGAGCAAGGAAGATATACCCTGGGTAGAAGAGGATTATGCCAGGAAATAATTAAGCAAACTGGATAGAAGTAAGTCCATGGCCCCTGTCAGGATGCACCAGCAAGCACTAAGTGAACCAGCAGGTGCCATTCTAAGGCCATTCTTGATAGTCAAATATGGTGACTGGGAGAAGTGCTTCAAGACTGGAGGAAAGAAATCATCACTTCTATATTCAAGAAGGGCCGTAAGGAGGATCCAGGGAACTACAGGCCAGTCAGTTTTACCTTGGTCCTGGAAAAGTGATGAAGGATCTCATCCTGGAAGCCAGGGTGGCTGGACCAGATGACTTACAGAGTTCCCTCAGCTATTCTGTGATTCTGTTATCTACCAGTTGAGAGCCACTGTAATGGCAGCTGTGAGACATCACAGAAGTGCATATTCTGGCCCAACCACATCCTTCTTTCATTTACATGGTATTAAATAAGTAAGGAGAAACAATTAACATTACGAAGAGGGTACCTGCACAGACAAATGCTTTGTATTGCTCCTATACATGTGTTCACCAGCCAAAACCATCAAATAATACTCAAAATTTCTAATTTTACAGTGTTTCACTTTAATGAGACTGAAGTGTTTTGTTAAGAAGGGCAAGTTATGAGGAAGACCAAACTCCCCTCTCTAAGCAATCGTAAATCCAAAATTGAGACTCCAATTGAAGAAGTATGGAGAAAGAAAAAATAACAGCCCTTTATTAGAGGATATATGTGTATTAGCAGAACAACAAAAGAACACAAAAGCAACCAAAGAATAATCCTGTACCCAAAAATCCCCTTCAAAAAGGAAACACTTCAGTACTTTCTGCCTTTTGGTGCATTTCTAACCACGATCAGGAGGGGGCACTGTTGGATGACTGGAGGAGCAGAGCCTGCAGTTGCTCTGTGGTGGCCTGTGGGGGTTGCTGTTGGGCTCTGACAGTCATCACGTGGGGGCCCTGGTTCACGGGAGAAGCCAAAATGGAGATAGATCTTCCCCCTACTGACAAGGGGAATGGGAAAAGGGGAAAAGGGTGTTCTTCCCATGAAACTCACGCTGTCTGCGGCTGGCTGTGGCCTGGATTTCCCCCTTTCATCAATGGGCATAAGCCACTGCCAAACACAGGAGCAGAGGAGAGAAATCGGGCAACCTCCTCACCAAAATGTTCCTCTCCAGATGGGTCAAGCCTCTACGATGAAATCTGAGCAGATCTGTTCTGGGGCAGAACAGGGCATAGGAAAAAGCAGAGGCAAACCAGGGCCAGGAAACAGCTAGATGACCAGGCCAAGAACAAAACGACCTCAGAGCATTTTCCAACACACACCTTGCCTGAGTTAAGGCAAAAGTGAAGTGCCCTCACCCTGTTTCCAAGTAGAGAAAAAAAAAACCCTAATCACCCCTCCCCACAGTCTTAGAAGGGCGATCAGCTTGGAATGAAGGCCTGCTAGTTAGTTCTTCTGTATGTGTCAATTAACCTAGGCAAACCCCTTCCCTCTCCCTGGTTCAACATCTTTCTTTTACAGTGAGGCAGGGGAAAGGAAAATTCCCTGCTTGCTTTTTCTAGAACAAGTATGACATACAGTTTCTTTTGGAAGAAGACACATTGAATACTTATTTCACCAAGGAATAAGTTAAACTTTACAGAATTGCCCTGGTAGTTACTGTAGACTAAAGTTCCTTCATATGTTTGTGTCAGTCACATGGTCTTGAGGCTAAGGATCATTTAGTGTTTTTCCTGTCATTCTTATATGTATAGTAAGAATATTGCAAAGAATATGATGAAATTAAATATTTGATAACAATTTATGCTTATAGCAATTTCTGATTAACCAAAGTGTCTCACATTTTGGTAAAAAATGGTATTTACTATAATTTTTATTTTAATTTATTAAGTATGCTTATATTTCTGCAACGGAATTGTGTTTGCGTAACCCAAAATTTAGGTTAAAATCCCAACCAAATATATTGTCAACAGTGGATCTTGTGAAGCTCTGTTGCCAGCTACTTGTGTCTTACAGTTGATTTACAGTTTTAAGTGAAATATACTGGGGTTTTAAAATGAGCTGACCACCTAGCAGGCAACAGATAATCCACACAAGAGAGAAATTTGGACTGATGGCTAAATTCTCTGGTGCTTAAGATGGCATAACACAAAATGATGCTGGAATTTCATAAGTACTGTTCTGGATATGAAATTTACGATGTCTCGTAAGGACTAAATATTCTCTGTCTCTTCTCCTTCAGTGAGCATATTAAACAAGATTTTTGCCATTTAAATTCCAAAACTGTTATGGAGAGTAGGTTTTCAGCTTCTGTTTCCTAGAAAGTGAGTCTTAATCAGACAAGTAAAAAAAATTATACCAACAGACTCTTACAGAGACTAATGCTGACTGAATATCTCTTCTATGGCCTGCAAACACAATTAAAATACAAGATGTAAATAAAAACATCACAGATAACTTCTGCAGTGCATGGCAAATAGTATGTAATCCAGGGAAGTAATAAGAATCATTACTGTGAAGGCAACATTGGAGAGCTGCAGGATGCAGCATTTGACAGATTTGAAATGTGCAGATGTCAGATGTATTAAGGGAGGCTACAAAAATGATGATTCCTATACATGTTAGCTTGACAATTACAAGACCTGGAGGGAGCATATGAAAATCCTTTATCAAATTGTGGTGGCTTGCTTTTTTCATTAGAGAAGAAAAAAAAAAAAAAAAAAAAAAAGGACGGATTACTGAGGAAGAATTGTAGGGTCTACAAAGAGGGTTAGAAGCTTCAGACCCACCAAGCAAGAAAGACTCAATTATGGCTTTCTCAAAGGCCAGCTGCTTCTGACCTTTCAAACCAAGAAGAGAAGCAGCATCACAACTGTAAGGATTTGTCACTGAAGAGGAGATGGAAAAATGTGACAAAGAACCCCACAATGGAAAGTATCGAAGCACTGAAAATAAATTAAAGACAGCTTTTAGTTCGCTAGAAAGAATATAAGAAAAGAATATAATTGGGGTAAAATCTCATTTGTCGAGCAAAGCAGGATTGCCCTTCAGGTCAGTCTAAGGAATGCTGAAGGACTTAGAGTTTTGGAGCAGCAAGAGTGAATTCATGTACACAAAATATAGCTGTAGAAAGTTTTGGGAAAGGGCTCCACCTGGATCTCTGTTCAACAAGTTGTAATATTGTTGTCTGATTTTTTCATTTGCTCCCATATTGCTATCTGATTATAAAAATAATCTGAAAACCAGAATAAAATTAAAACTAGATGTGTATGGCTGCATAGTGCATTGAATGGAACAACTGACAGAACTAAAACAAGGCCAATCATATTTGTGGAGGCATTCATGATTGAGTGGTTGTTGCCTCTGACAGGGGTGGGTGATGAAAGAAAAAAAATAAAGAAGCAACAACTTTTACCAAAATAAAACAACACTCATGTTGCAAAACTTCTTATTGGTGACAAATGATGTTGTATTGAGGTAGCCTCAACATGTGACATAATCCTAAACATAGGGTCTAGTAGAAACAAAAATGTTTTCACATTTCTACCTTTCTCACTGATTCACATTGTTGTTTAGGATTATTATAGCTGTTTTCTACCCAGAAAATT